TCTCTCATAGTTGAGGTATACCTATGATGAAAATTACAGGCCTCTCTCATCTTTTTAAGTGGGAGAACTTGCACAATTGGTGGCTGACTAAATACTTTTTTGCCCCACTGTATTATAGAAATCTCACAGACAGGTAGTAGGTAAAGTATATCCATTATCTCAAAGATAATACCAAGCCACCAACCTTGAAGTTAAGAGCGTGAAAGTGGAGATTCTATAAATGGTGATGTTGCTATCACTGTTATTCAGAAAGGCATTATACTTCTTTTTCTCCAGGTGCTTAAATAAGGCTAGAGACTGGTGTGAAAGATTGACAAGTGTGTCTGATCCAACAGTTGGCTGGCACTGGATTGCATTTGTCATTGCTGCCCAAATATTAAGTCTTGGTTATTTCCTCTTCATGTTTGTCTCCTACTTTCAGAATTGCAGGCTGGAGTCATTCACATTCTGTTTTTCTAAAAAGAATGCTACCCCTTTCTACCCATTCCTATTCTCCCACCAACATACACACAAAAGAAAAGCTGAAGAACCTTGAAATAAGATCCTAAAATAGGCCCATTTCAATCTTGCCAAATGTAGCTAGCTAAAGTTCTTAGCAAAGTATCTGCTAATGAATAGATGGGGCACCAATTCCTAAGAAAAAGAAAATGTCTCTGGTGATGAGGAAAGGATTGAACAAGAGACAGAGATTTAAGTTCAGATCAACTGCAGCAGATTTTGTATCTCTTCAATCTGCAGAGAGTGTCTTCTCCCATTACAGTATAAAACTGTCCAATTTAGGATCCTTTAGTAAGATGCAGACTTTGTCATATTTAAAGCAGGGGCATTAAAATCAATGAACTAACCACATTGATTTTAATGGGCCTAGTGTAGATATGGCTGGGTCTCAATCCAACCATTGGTAAAAACAGAAAGGGTACCAGTGGGCATGAAAATGACAAAGTATCCTATAGAGAATGCAGCACAGTTCAAAATATCCTATATATACTGCTGTAGTTGGCTACAACTAAATAGGAACAAGGTCTTGAGGGAGGTGATGGTGGAACCAGGTTACAATAGCTATAAAAGAGGCAAATTCCATGCTTGAGATGATTAAGATTTATATGGCTTCCACCCTGAGGCACTGTAGTAACTAAGTGATGGACAAGGAACACCTCTGGTCTAACCCAGCTGGGCTTTTCTTACATTAGGCAAGGACTAGGAAACCTACTGCCTTCTCTATGGTGCTTAATTGCCACTCTCAGTATCTGTCATCATTGGCCAGTCTGACTAAGGTTGCTAGGAATTGTAATTCAGCAACAACTGGAAGGCCACCAGTTCCCTAGACCAATATCAGACTCTTCCCAGGTGCATCAGAACTGAATGGCTAGCAAATAACTGCAAACAAGTTGGACCTCAGGAAGGCAAACCCCTCAGGCACTAAATGACAAAATGTCAGACCTGTGGTACTCTCATCGTCTCTTTAGGTAGAGTTCCTTCCCCTCACCCTTTTGGAGGGCAGATCATGCAAAGCACTTATAGACAGCGCAGGCATTTTAGGCTCCAAAGTCAGTTGTCCAGCTTTAGGTCCATGCCAATGTTCAACCGCCCTCTCCTCCTCCCCACCACCCTGGCTCCGCATTACCTTCATCATTGCCACCATGGTGTTTTCATCTGCGTGGAGAGGAGGTATACACTGGTTGAACTGTTGCAGTCTCGCATAGCGCCTGTATGGATAGGTGAGGGTATGGCTGCCTCCACAATGCCGAGGTATATTTACATAGCTCACATCAGACACCTCTGGAAGTCTGTCCCTGTGAAGAGGCAAGGGCCCATAATCCACACAAGGCAAAGTCTGTCAGCCCTATGATCCCAGTAACCCAGACAGAACCACCACTTTATTTCTGAAGGATTGGATTCATTTCAGGACATTAGCAGCAGAGGTGGGACCAGGGGAAGCATTGCAATTAAGGATTAGTACTCAACCAAATTCAAGATCTAGCATGACTTTTCTGTGGTGGCCTAGGCTAAAGCATTGTCTTGGCTCAGGGGCCACTGCAAATCTCAGGATGTTTAATGTATGATTCATTGTGTTGTGTAAACCAAGCAACTGGATTAATCTGGTGAACTAGTGTGTATCAGAGAGGCAAAAAACTTACACCCTGCCATGTGCCCATCCACTACATCTTAGTATAGTGAAGTTCAGCAACAAAATGATTGATTTTCAGCAAAGCAATTTTTCAGGCTCCCCCCTTCTCACAATAAGGGTTAGATTATTTCAAACCTCCCAAGTTCCCCTAAACAAGTCAACATTGTATAGCTGAAATTCAAATATTATCAGGTTTAATTCACACCTTTTGTGGAGGAATAGAAGTAGGGCAGAACAGGCAGGTTAGATATAGAAAAAAAGAGCAGCATCTCTCAGAGGCCTTCTACTCTCATTCCTACTTTTCATATCCCCTACGCCTCCCCAAAGGGAGAAAATGCTTTTAAAAATAGCCCTGGCTTCAGGTGATGTCACAAGAGTGTTCCTGTGGCTCACCGGCTGATTGGAATTGCTAGGCTAGACTATTGTACAAACATAATCCAAAGCGCCTTCCCTAATTGGTATTAATGGACAGTGAGATAGCAATTACCCTGTCCTACTGTTGATAAAACGTTGATAACCAAGGGAAGGACCCCACTGGGCAGGTTAAATAGCTCTGGCATTCAGGTGGAAGAAAGGCAGGAGTGGTCTGCAACTTGACCTTCCAGGTTGCGACAAGATATTAGAACTATCCTCCTTCAACTGGAAAAGGGAGGGAGGGAGGGAGGGAGGGAGGAAGGAAGGAAGGAAGGAAGGAAGGAAGGAA